GCGTCCGCCGCCGGGCGGAGGGCTCGGGGCCTCGCGTGGGTCGCTTGCGTAGGCAGCGCCGTCTCCGGCCTCGGCAAACACGCACCAGCCCCGGGTGCCGGCACCAGGGAGCTTAAAGCCGCGCTGCAAACGCCCAGCTCAGGCCCCCCCCCACCCCGCCGTGCCCGGCAAGGAGGCTTGGCGGAGGAGAGGCAGCTGGAGGCTCACGGGGAGGAGGAGAGCAGCTCCGAGCGCCGGGAGCGAACGCCCCCGGGGCGGCAGTAAGCAGAGCCCCGCTCTTTCGGCCGCCCGCGTTGCGCCCTCCGCTCTGCCTGCCGCGCGTTGACCCCGGTTTTTTGTTCCCCTTGCGCGTGCGACTTGCAGGGCTGAGGGCGAAGGACGGGAGCAGTCAGCGCAGAGATGTTTCCTGTGGATCCAAGAGCTAAATCCGGCCCGAGCTCGTGCACTCCCTGGATCCACCGAGGAGCGGGAGGGAAACGCCGTCAGGGCTGTTTCCCCCACCGCTGTCTGAACGCTTTGACGTCCCCCCGCCCGCCCTGGTAACGGGCAGGGCAGCGGGGAAGGAGAGCGTGAGGAACGCAGTTGTGGTCTCACGCCTTCACGCCGGGCTGGCCGGGCCCAGCAGCGCGAGGCCCAGGCTCGGCCCTCCCGCCCCGTGAGTCCTGAGTCCCGTAGGCGCTGGCTTCCTGCGAGGTCTGGGAAAGTGCGTCTTGCTCACTCCTTCACCTACGTCTCTTAAGGGACTGCGTGTTGCTGAATGCTCCTTGCAAATGCAGTTTCCTGTGAAAAAAATCCCAGCCTTGCTAACATCCCACATGTAATATGATACATTCCCATTCATGCACACTTCCCACCACTCTGCCATACAGCCTTGTACAACCAAAGAGAGAGAAACTGTAAGGCATGCCTGCACGCTGAAATCCCTAATTCTTCAAGTTGGGGGGGGGGGTGATTTGGGGTGATTTGGGTGTTTTTCCCCCCCTTTTTCTAAAAGAGTTTTGGAAAATTACTTTCCACCATCTGCCCTGCCAGAGCTAGGAAATATTTGGAATACATTCCATTCTCCTAATGAACACGCAACAGCAGGGGTGCAGCAAACAAGAGAGAGAAAATCTTTCTAATGAACAACAAATGAACGAGAAATCAGATCTGCATAGCTTCAGCTTTTGTTGCCTATAGCTTTAGGGTGATTCATGGAGACAAAATCAACGAATGTGCTGTAGACCCAGGTCTAGCACGGCACGCACAACTCCTGTCATGACCCAAGCCATATTTGTTTTGGATACAAATATAGAGTCTTGCTAGCTTCCTTTTCTTTTAATTGACAAAAGTGGGGGAAGAATTTCTTAAGTATAGTTCCTACAACTCCTGTTAACGCTCTTCAAAACGTGTTGAATTTATAGGATACTGTCAAATGCATATTAGTATTCATGACACAAATCACGTTGCTTCCAACTGGTATATAGAGCTGTATCATGCTCTTTTGTTAAAAAAAACAATAATGTGCTCCAACTAAAAAAATTAGTGGGTCTGTCTTAGATAAAAAGGACCAAAAAGCTCCCCTTGATTCATGCCCCTCAGAGGCTGTGGATGCATGTTGCTGAGCATGGCCAGAGGTGGACTTCCAGATCCACCACAGCAGAAATTAAGGACTTCTGTCAGGTGATGTATATGCCATTATGAATACGAAAATTAGCTGTTCTACTTTTAAGAGCTTTGCCTGCAGCAAGCCATTTAGACATTAGCAATTTTCCACCCAAAGCTTTTGGTATCAGAAGCTTGGACGTATCAACTGGGAACTTCAGTCCAGGCTCAGAAGCTGTGCGAAGCACGGTGCTGGCTGCCACAGCAGCCCTTCGCCTGGAGACGCAGGAGGAATGACGCGTTCATGGAGTTGCAACCCAGCCTTATTGGCAAAGCCTCTGTTCAGATACTGGGACTTTTCTTCACACCTCCTTAATGGTGTATTTTGTTTTCTGTACCAGTCCACAAGCTGTAGCCCAAAATACTCGAAAAGTGACAAGTGCCAACAAAGAACTCTTCAACTCATCATCTCTGGAGGCTGCGGCATCTCCCAGCCCCTGCCTTAAAGAAGAAGCCATGGGAGCACAGGGGAACTTCCCAGCCTGCTTTGAATGTCATCACATTGGCCATGGCAGGCCAAAAGAGCAATTTCTAAACCAGGGAGATGTGGATACAGAAACAGGAAAGGTCTTAGTCCTATAAAAGTTACCTTAGTAGAGACTACTGACACTTCCCACGCCATCCTGAAATCCTAGATTGACCCTACATATTTCTTAGTCTCCGGAGCCCTGAATTCCCCATAGGAAACAGCACCAGCAGGTGAAATGGGAAACTATTTAGCAAGAAATCCTTCTCATCCTGCTCTTACTGGAGGTTTCCGATAGCCTGGAGGTGTAATGGCACTAGAGATATGCTTATAGCAACCCAATCTGCAGGTGCTAAAAATAATGACCAGACTGACATCGCTCTGCAGGTACAATGATACCTGCTCTTTTCTATGCAGTCTTTCTGCTTCATTCATTGGGTGAACGAAGACTGAGGTGAAAGGTATTACGCTGGGTTTCCTCTCTGCACCTAGCACTGTCACCTATTTTTTGTGTGTTGAGGTGCTAATTTTTTGGTGTATGCACTCATTTTTTTGGAGCCTGACTCTGCTATTCCTTCACACCTGTGAGAAAACAAGCAGAGTTTCCTCCAAGAAGATCTCACATGACTGGACCTATTTATTTAATACCATATTCTGGATTCATGTTCACCTTCTTCATCTGCTATTTGTTGCAGTTTCACCCACCTGCATGCACCCGCTTGCTGCATTCAGCCTCACAAATGCATTAAAAAGCCACTTGGTTCCCCCTTGTTCTAGGTCTCTCACACTGGAGCGTGAATTAAAAAAAAAAAGAGAGAGCGAGCGAGCGAGAAACAGAACGTTCTTACAAAAAGCAATTTCTTGGCTGGCCATTTTTTTTTTTTACTCCCCTCAGTATGGCAGGAGATATTTATGTCTGAACAAAATCCTTCTTCCTCCCAATCAATCCAGCTTCTCTTGATTCTGCACTGCAGTCACACTGTTTATGTCAGTCTGTTGCTGTGAAAATTAATGTGACAACACAAAATGCAGCATAATGACTAAAGGTGTGTGAAATAGTCCTGGAGAAATGAAAAGTGACTTCAAATGCAAGGTATTTCCTCCTTCCCCTTTCTCCCATCCTACAAGCTGCTACAGTTCTGAAAATGGGACAGTTTTCAAATAGGCTATATTTGCAGAGCAAAGATGGGTGCTATTTTTATTGCAAATTAGCAGATTTTTTAGCAGATCCAACCTCATTTGCAAGTGAAAGTGACTCTACTTACCATGCAGATATGGGTCTTATGTTGGAAACTCATGGAAATTCATGTTTTGAACATACTTACAGAAGAAAAAATAGAACCTGCCTTTATTTCTGGCTGAGACTAGCTCCACCGCAGAACTAGCAAAGGGGCAGCGTGTATTTGCTGCACAGCCACATGATGTGAGCAAGTATGAGTGAGCCTAAAGTAGTTTTACCTGTGCTCTGTGAACCTCTGGGGGTCTGCGGGCTTGAAGGAGTCCACAGAGATATCTGAGAAAAGGTATTGCTTTGTTAGTAGCTTTAAATTTGCTGCACTGGGATCCACATTTCCATGGGAACGTTGTGAATGGTCTGCATATTGAAGAAGACAGAAAACCGCTATCCCAACAGACAGCGCTCGCTACGGTTGTTCATGGTCTGCACTAATGCAAAGAGTTTGATTTAGTAAATACTACGAGGGCAAAACATTTTCAGTCGACAGCCAGTCCCGCAGAAGATGCCATTTCAGAATGCCAAAACTTTTCATTAAGTTGGAAAAAATCTGGCGAGTGGTTTAAGCCAAGAAAAACAGTTGAAAAAAATTTAGGGAAATCAAAACGCTGCATTTAAGCGCTACTGAATCAAAAATGTTTCAGGTTTTTGTTTCAAAATGAGATTTTGAATTAAAAGTCAACCTACAATTTGAGAAAGATGAATAAAACCTTAAACGCCTCCCAAATTAAATAACAGAACAAGTCGTCACATCCCAAATTTGTACCAGCTCCGTCAAGCCCCAAATCATGCCATCAAATTACGGAGAAAGTAAAATTCAGGGAAATGAAAGAAAAATTGTGCACACTTTTTAAAAATTTGCACAACAGTGGTGCTGGATCCCCACAAGCCTGATCTGGGCTTCAGTTATGACTCCACCATTAAGGTGGACGAGGAAGAAAAAAGTCTTCATATTCATATGGACATTGCAAGAAGAAAATGAAAAACAGAACAGCAGGCAGGGAAAGCAGAGAGACGTGATTTCAGGAAGTGCATTCTAATTTTGAGAGTGCAATTTCTACCTGCCGAATTTGCACGTGCATTCCTTGAACCTGCAGCTGTGCAGCGGGAGCGAGCGTGTCGGTGCCTGTCCCACGGGCGGCACGACTGAGGGAAGCAGCGGTGCGGGCATTCGGGTCTGCTAGCAAATTCTTTTGGCAGAAGTGTTTTGCAGTTATCTGCTACACACGACAAAGCAGAAGGTGAGTCTTGGCCCTGCTGCTATACTTAAGTGTGATGGGCTCAGCCTTTCTTTCCCCGCATCCCGTCCCCACGTATCTTTGGTGTGTACAGCTCCCATTTTAATAACGTCCACTGAAGTGCACAAATCCCGTTCCTGAGCGCTCTGTTGCTATGGACTTTAATGAGACTATTTTAATCACAAATGAGTTCAAAACCAGAGGTAACATTTTAAAAGCACCTAAATTCTTCTTACAAAATAACAGGCTCTTCAAAGCTCTCGTGTAAAAAAATTATGTCTTGGACACAACATCCCAAACCTC